ATTTAAAAATTTCCCCCAAACCCCCCCCCCCCCCCCCCCCCCCCCTTTTTGAAATCTTCCTATTGTTTGTTCTTGATTGTTTTTCATTAAAGGTGTGATTGTTTTTTCCTTTTTTTTTTTGACTGTGAACATGTTCACAATATAAACAGAATATTGATTTAGTTGGTCTAAATTGCATGTTTAGTTAAGTGATAATTCTGTCAATGAATATTTGGATGTGAACTAATAGGTGTGTTTAAATTGTAAAAAGTTTAAGAAATTTTAATATATTACAGTCTTTATTAGTGCTCAGCTCTGTGGTCACAAAAATTTCATTTTTATTTCTTTAAGAATTCAGCAAAGCAACATCAAAATCTTCAGAAATTTGTCCACCATTTTTAGGGATTTGTCTTAAAAGGACCCAGTTCAATCTTGACAAAATATTATGAAAATAATGTTATATATAGGGATATCATGGAATGATGACAAATTCTTTACTGGATTTTTGAAGAACTTAACATGAAGTTTTGTGGGCTAATTTAGGGCAAGGTTTTTTTGTTAGTGTGATAGTAGGTATTTATTTCTTAAGTTTTATTGAAGACAATTTATTGTATTTTTGCCACTGCCCTACTTTGTTACAAGGAATATGTATGAAAAAATGGTTAAATTTTTGCAAGATTAAGTCATGGTAAATTTTGGAAAGTAATTGGCAATGTCTTTGAATTTTTTTGCAAAGACAAAATCATTAAACCATGTGTAAGATGTTTAATATTTTTTTTACCAGCTGATAGATCACAATTTTCAGCTATCTGTATCCTTTTTAAGAATGAAAACTATATGAAAATATACTGTGCATCAGAAACGTGACTCTTGATCAATTAGGCCTGTTACATTTTTCAATGAAATTATAAGGTTCTGCTAACATCTGTAATTGTTTACAAATCGGTCATCAGATTTTCATTCTCAAAAGTAGTAGGGTAGTTGAAATTGAGCCCTATGGCTGCTAAAACAGATATTTTGATGAATATATAGCTTTGAATTGTCGAATAAGATAATGCTATGTAAAGTATGTTATTTTAAATTATGTACATAGTATAAGTGGACAGAAAATGTTTATGGTTTTGTATGACAGTTTTGAGGGTATTTCTTTAAAGAGTGGTCAACTGATATTCTTCTTTCTAAGCTCAGCCAAATTTTTAAAGCTGATCATAGCCTTATTAATACACTCCTAATAATAATATATGGGTTCAAATAAAATTCGCTAGACAGAAAAGATAAATTCGTTTATGGGTTGCTATATTGGCGACAAAAAATTACAGGCATTTTATAAAATTTGACTGCAGTTGACACCATCTACCTTTGCTTTTGTAACTTTGTAATTAATGCAACCATGCGCAACTAGTGATCGCTATGGTGAGAGGCCTGCTTTAAGCTTTCCGTTTGATCAAAATAAATGGCCAATGAATAACAATAAGAATTTGGTTGGCCAACACTTAAAGAGTGTATATATTGTATTGTATTTCTGTACAGAGACATAAGGCACATTTATTAGACATAAAAGGCTAGCAACTTTTCGTGCAAAAATACAGTTCTAAATGATATAGTACCTATACGAAATTGTATATATTTGCAGTATGAGTTGTCCCTATTTAGCGAACTGTTTGCTAAATGTGCCCATTATTATATATGATGTATATGAATGAGTGTTAACTGAAAAAATACTTCACAAATCGTGTCCAAATTAAAGAAATTTAAAATACATTTATTATGCGAGTTTTTTTTTGTTTCATCATAAACTTTTGTGCTGGTTGCAAGATAGGGTCGTTTTCGAGTAGGAAAATTGTGGTACAAATAACTCAAATTTGTGACGAGTGTGGCTCAGCAAGGACCAAACAACTGGAGCCTCTTGTGCTAGTCACTTGTGGTTCAGCATAGAACAAAACAACCAATGCCTCTTTGGCTAGTCATTACGCATCTTTATTTAGGACCTCGGCCCGTGCGTTACTTAAAAGTTTCCATGAACTTCCTCACTCTTTACCTTCACAATTTCAATCTATTGAGACCTATTTATTACCTTCACTTCATTAGGCTCTTTTCTAGTATCACGGAATACAGCTATTGTATTGAATTATACGCCAGCTGAAACAACCAACCAGAGCCCTCAACATAAAGACTAGACTTATGGCCCATATTTTATTGCAAAATTTCAGACGAGGACTCAAACAAATTGCTGCATTTACAAACTGTCGTGATACAAGAAAAGTGGCTATTGAAATCAAGGTATAAGAATCAGTTCCAAATAGCTTGACACCTAATGCCTCGTGTGCTGTAGGCCATATAGACCGAAAACGTCAAATACCATACCTTACTTTGCAAAATAAAAAGATTTGGACCATGTTTCAGAATTTTCTTACTAATTAGAGCCCAAGGATTTGGAAAAACTCTTAAAACATAATTAAAGACAATTTAAGAAAAAAATGGATTTTTTTTGTAACCAGGGACTACTGCACGAAAAGAGCTCATAAACAAATAAATTTTTATTTTACAAAGACACAATGCTACAAAGCTGAAATTTTGCACACATAATTATGCACATGGACATTTGGAAAAAAAAAGAACTATAAAATATACCATAGCGAAAAAGTTAGGTGAGGAAATGTTCCCGATGTAGACCAAAAACGTCAAATACCTAACTTTGTGAAATAAACCGCTTTGGCCCATGTTTTAGACTTTTCCTACTAATTAGAGCCCAAGGATTTGGAAAAACACATAAAACCTAATACAAAAAATAAAATGGATTTTTTTTTCTTACGGCGGACGGCTGCACAAAAGGTGCTCATATGGAGCTGAAAATTGTATTTTTTTCTTTATTTTTGAATTGGGTTTTAAGTGATTTTCCGGGCCCCTGGGGACCAAACAGTAGGAAAGTCCAAAACATGGGCCAAATCGGTTTATTTGGCAAAGTCAGGTATTGGACGTTTTCAGTCTATATGGCATATCAGAGCAGAATATCGACAACTTTTCCTAAGCTAACTTTTTCCCTATGGAAGATTTTTCAGTTCGGTTTTTTCCAAATGTCTAGGTGGCCCACGTGCATATGTGTGCAAAATTTCAGCTTTGTAGCTTTGTAACTTTGCAAGATAAAAATTTATTTGTGTATAAACACATTTCTTGCAGTAGTCCCATGTAACTAAAAAATTGTATTTTTTTCTCTAATTGTTTATAATTGGGTTTTAAGTGATTTTCCGGGCCCCTGGGGTCCAAACAGTAGAAAAGTCCAAAACATGGGCCAAATCGGTTTATTTGGCAAAGTTAGGTATTGGACGTTTTCAGTCTATATGGCATATCAGAGCAGAATATCGACAACTTTTCCTGAGCTAACTTTTTCCCTATGGAAGATTTTTCAGTTCGGTTTTTTCCAAATGTCTAGGTGGCCCACGTGCATATGTGTGCAAAATTTCAGCTTTGTAGCTTTGTAACTTCGCAAGATAAAAATTTATTTGTGTATAAGCACATTTCGTGCAGTAGTCCCTTGTAACTAAAAAAATTGTATTTTTTTCTCTAATTGTTTTTAATTGGGTTTTAAGTGTTTTTCCAGGTCCCTGGGGTCCAAACAGTAGGAAAAGTCCAAAACATGGGCCAAATCGGTTTATTTGGCAAAGTTAGGTATTGGACGTTTTCAGTTTATATGTCCTATCATAGCAGAATATCGTCAACCTTTCCTGAGCTAACTTTTTCCCTATGGGAGATTTTTCAGTTCGGTTTTTTTGCAAATGTCTAGGTGGCCCATTTGCATATGTGTGCAAAATTTCAGCTTCTAGCTTTGTAACTTTGCAAGATAAAAATTTATTTGTGTATAAGCACATTTCGTCCAGTAGTGCCTTGAAACTAGAAAAAAT